TGTACTGGCCAGCTGTCAAAAAAAAAAAAAAAAAAGGAAAAAAAAAACCAAAACATATTTATCATTGTTACTTAAAAGTCTTTGCCAGCTAATTTCAATACTTGGGTCCTCTGTGGGTCTTTCTTTTTTTTTTTTTTTTTTTGACAGCTGGCCAGTACAGGGATCGAACCCTCCCTGGATCTTCATGTTATCAGCACCGCACTCTAACCAACTGAGCTAACTAGCCAGCCCTGTGGGTCTGTCTCTATTTTTTTCCCCCTCTTGATTATATGTCACATTTTCCTGCTTCTTTGTATGTCTCATAATTTATTATTTGCTTGCCAGACATTGTGTATAAAAGAAGAGTAGATACTGAATTATGTAATAAATACCCCCAGAAAGGGCTTGCACTTTCCTTTGCCAGACAGCCAGGATGTGAGGCTAATCTCTTCCAGCTGATCAGGAGGTGGAGTGGATTTTGGCTTTAGTTAGTTTCACTTCATCTCTGGTTGTGACTATCTTGAAGTTGGGATCATGTCACTGGTTTACTCCAGCAAGACTTTGGAATCTACGCACAACCATGACCATGACTTATGAGATCTCTCTGCTTTTTAATCCTGCCCCCAGTTCCCACCTGCTGCTTAGTCAGAAAAGCTGTATGCTTATGGAAAGCTTTCTCCCTTGCCTGCTTGGGCCCATTGAAATGAGACTGGAATGAAAGTGACTTACCTAGGAAGGGCTCATACATCTCTGGAATTTAGTTCATTTTGTCTAGTGCTATCCAATAGAAGTATAAAGAGAGCCACATATATCATTTTAAATTGTGTAGTAGCCACATTTAAAAAGTAAAAAGAAGCAGGTGAAATTAATATATTTTACTTAACTCAGTATATTCAGAATATTATCATTTTGGCCAACAAGCACATGAAAAGATGCTTGACATCACTGATCACTAGAGAAATGCCACGTCACACCCATTAGGGAGATACCACGTCACACCCATTAGGATGGCTGTAATAAATAACAAAAACCAAAAAACAGAAAATAGCAAGTGTTGACAAAGATGTGGAGAAATTGGAACCCTTGTGTTCTGTTGGTGAGAATGTAAAATGATGCAGCTACTATGGAAAACAGTATGGCAATTCCTCAGAAAAATTAAAAATAGGATTGCCAAATGATTCAGCAATTCCACTTCTGGGTATATACCCAAAATAATTGAAAGCAGGGTCTTGAAGAGATATTTGTACATGCATGTTCATAGCAGCATTATTCACCATAGCCAAAAGGTGGAAGCAACCCAAGTATCCATCCATGAATGAATGGATAAATAAAATGTATATACGTACAATGGAATATTATTGAGCCTTAAAAAGGAAAGAAATTCTGACATATGCTACAACATGGATAAATCTTGAAGACATTATGCTAATTAAAATAAACCAGTCACGAAAAAAGACAAATACTGTATGATTCCACTTAAATGAGGTACCTGGAGTAGTCAGATTCATAGACATGGAAGGTAGAATGGTGGTTGCCAAGGGTAGGGGGAAGACAATTGGAAGTTAATGTTTAATGGGTTTAATTGGTATAGTTTCAGTTTTATGAAATGGAAAGTGTTGTAGAGATGGATGATGGTAATGGTTGCACAACAATGTACTTAAGCTGTGTGCATTAAACTGTGCACTTTTAAGTATGCACTAAACTGTACACTTAAAAATGGTTTACTACTGAACTGTACACTTAAAAATGGTTAAGATGGTAAATTTTATGTTATGTGTGTTTTATCACAGTTAAAATTTTTAAAAGTTATTTTAATGTGTAATCAGTAGAAAAATCATTAATGAAATATTTTACAATCTTTTTTGGTACTAACTCCTTAGAATCTCATATGTAGTTTACATGTATAGCACATCCTAGGTAGGCCCAGCCACACTTCAAGAGCTCAGTAGCCACTTGTGGGTAGTGGCTACCATATTGGACAGCACAGGTTCAGGCTTTTTAATTTTTATTTTTTGTTTTTTCTTTCTTTTTTTTTTTTTCCTTTTTGTCTTTTTTCGTGACCGGCAACGGATCGCAACCCTCAGTGTCGCGCCCGTACCGGACCGGAACCGGCAACGGGATCGCAACCCTCGGTGTTGCACCCACACCTCGCTCAGCCAGTGAGCGGCCGGTCTGTATGTGGGATCCGAACCCTTGGTGGGAGCGCCATCGCGCTCCCAAGCGGCGCACTGTAGCAGTGCGCCTCCGGGCCGGGCCTTGTTTTTTCTTTTTTCATTCTTTTTTAAAAGTTCC